ATTGTATAGCCCATGATTTGATTCCCTAGAGGAAGAAGTGACATTGAGTTATTTCAATAAGTCAACAATTACCAAGAAAGTTCTCTCATTATAATATTAGAAGGCATATAACTTGATATTTATTATAAGGATTTAATATGGTGTGGTCTCATCATTTTAATCTTAACAAGTACACTAGAGTTTAATCGTATTAATCATACATATTAGATATCATTCGTATCATAATCTTACATATAAGAGTTTAATCATATCAATTTCATACATGACTCAAGGACTCGTGAATGATAATGGATATCTATTACTAGTCCTCCGAGCTAAAAGGAGACTAAAAGGTTAAATATCTAGGTGAAAAATTATGATAATTTCTTCGACATTGTTTTCACTTCTTAGTTCCTTTTCCTTATATCTATTCTAATAATCTATCTTCTACTTTTACAATTCTTAAATAAGAAACCTTGAGTTACATTCGAGTGGAGTAAGATGAGGAGAGAAATATATCGGAGTAATAAAGAAGGTAGGATATGTCTACCCTCTTTAACCAAAAAGTATAAGTATACATTTTTAAAAACTAGGTTGACTCATCCATATCATTCATCCACACTTCAATCAAATTGATACATAGCATATAAACAAATGAAACATATTAGATTTTAATATAATTATAAATCTATGATTTTAGTCATTTTATAAAATATTAAAATTTTTTTAAATTTTATTTTTTCTAAACTTTTGGGTCTTGGGTCCAATTTGAGCCATGGGCTTATGGGCTTTAGAGGCCTACGGACTATCATGTCTTAGCCGGCCAATGTCTAGCACTAGCCCATAGCCGCCTCTAACTTGGGTCCAAGCATTGGCCTCGATGCCAATTAGCTCGGCGCTTGCTTGATGTGCGAGAGGTATGCTTAGCTCGGGCATGTTTGGAGTGTGCGAGGCATGCCTAGCCGTGCCATTGGCCTAGCATACATGAGGCACACCTAGCCTTTATGCGTGTCTAGCCAAGGCATGTGTCCGGCCTAGCTTGTTGGCACTTATAAAAGCATCAATGTCGAACATTGGCCTTACGCGCACCTTCTTTCCTAAGCCCAAATTCAATTACAAAAACATTATAAAGTTCCAAAAACTTTAGATTTATAATTAGAAATTAATAATTCATGTAGTTAATCAAAATTAATATCATCTATAATTAAATATTCAACACAAGCTCTACTACCAATTAAAGGAAAATGCATCCTATCGAGGTACGAAATAAACAAAAAAATTTATTTTCTTCAAAGTTCCTAAGATTATGTCATTGAATCAACTAATCACATAAACACGAATAAGATAATAATGAGTGATTACCTCTTATAGCATAAAATTAACATTTGCTAAAAAGAATCGTCCAAGTGTTCGACCCTAGTGATAATCCATGTAGCTCAAACACTCACATAAAAAGTTATAGAAATCATCATGTGCTAGCTCTAATTATTCTATATATGAATTTTCTCTATAATGAACCAGGTAGGGTTTTGTGCTATCTTTATTTTCCTAAGGGAGAGATAAGACAACTTTTGCCTTTTTTGGGAGAGACGTTTTCTTTTTGTTAGTTTTTATTATGTCTCTTTTCCCTTTATATATATATAAGTGGAGGCAACTCTCCTTGTAGGTCAAGGAGATGTAACTTATATAGACTTGGTCTAACCTTATTCTTATAAGCCTTAAATCTTATCCAATAGTACTCAAGTTTATCCCTCCACTAAAATATCTTATAGGCTTTTAAATTAAACATATTGGCTCAAACTCTTTTGACCTAATTAATTACCAATTAATTTAGACCATTCAAATAAATTGGGTCAACTATTTTAGGGAGGCCCACATTAGGAAACATTTTTCTAAATTTCCCTTAAACCTAAATTAAAGAACTGATTTTCATTTTAGGTAACTAACTTTCAAATTTGAAACTGGCTTCCAAATTAAAAAATTGATTTCTAAAATAAGAAATTGATTTTCCCAAATAGGATACTTTTTCCAAAAACCTTTGCTTGTTTTTTATAATGTGAATGTTTAAACTTTGTGTGTGACTCAATAGGCTCCTAGATATATTGGCAATATATCAAGAAGAAAAAAGATTTTTTTTTTACCTTTTGATACATAAATCAAGATTGACCTCTAGTAAGGTATCATGACTACCCAATTCTCTAAGAGGATTAATTAATGCATAATTACCTTTCACGAGAATGTTTTCTATAAATTCAATCCTCATATCAATTTATCACAATAAGATCTCAAGCTTGGTTTATAGTCTATTCGATTATGATCACATAAGTTTTCTTCGATACCCAAATGTCTTAGCTCACAAGTAAACCAATTATGCTTTATTAATATATTTTCACTATGGCCACATATTCTTTGAACGGACATTTATCGAAGTGCAATATGATAACTCTTATAGCATACAAAGAATGACATATCTTATCTCATTCACTTACATATCTCATTTAGACTTCTAATACATCCAATGAATTGTTTACATATAGCTCTTTATCGAGCCTATCGAAATGAATTTCAAAATATAACAATCCTCTAATGAGATAACCATGATAATTTTAAGTAAAAAGATTAGTTATACCCATCTCATATGAAATTCTCATAGACTAAACCAGATAAGTTCTCATTATGAGTAACTTCCGGTGATATGTTCTCTAACATTTATTGACCCGAGTGCTTACATTAGTATCATTGTGTCAATACGTGTGAGATCTCTTACTCGTTATTTTATAGCAAGAGCATAACACTCATAAATCTTATCGCATGTTATCAATGTCCAATCTTGACAATACTATGACTTGATACATTTAATGATATCATTTAAATACATCAATATTTGTCTCAAATCAATTGATCAATCATTAATGCAAAGCATATCATATGAACTTCTATCTAATTCTATCAAATTATAAATAACAAGAATTAATAGAAATATTTCTTTATTAATATTGAAATATAATGATACAATAAATCAAACCATCTAGGAAGGTTGTATTTTGGGTACCTACATTAATAAGCCCTTCATGCAAGAACCAAAATATTCATTTAAAGTATCACTATATCCAAGAGTTGTTGCATGATAGGGTAATATGTTTGAACAAGATTCTTGGATTAGAGAATCCAACCGATATGTTGTCCAATACAATTACCATTAATAAGTTGAGGATTTACATTACCTTAGTTGACCTTTATGATTAGTAATGAGAAGGCATCGCACTAGGAGAACTTGAAGTTGGTTGAGAAAATGGACGAGTTATAAGAGGTTTGGTGCTATTTAGAGATCAATCTCAAAGTGGGAGATTATTAAGTTGTGGAGACCGATATAGATAAGGGGTCGTAGTATAAGGAGCTATATAGAGCCAAGTATGGTGGTCTCGCTAGTAGATTAGTGAGCGGGGGTCAAAGGAGTTAAGGGACGGAGCCTCCAAAAGGTATATAGAATATTGGGTTAAATGTATTGACTCGTTAGACTTTTTTCTCATAACCCTAGTTATCTAAGCGATAAATAAAGGTTACATCATTTGTATTTGTAACGACCACTTGATAAAACCTAATAAGAAATTTTAGTACAGCCATGAAGTAGGCACCATTACTCGAACCATGTAAAATCTTTGTATCGTGTGATTGTTCTTGTCTTCGTACTTTATTCTTTTTCTTGATTCATTTCCTAATATATATATTGTTTTTTTAAAACCATTCTCTCCTAATACTAACACTATTCATTTTCTTTCATAGTTGTACTATTACTTTCTTAAGTCGTTATTCTCCTTCTTATACTAAATTAGTTATCAAAGAATTCTTTATCCCATCAACAAAATTTATTTTTCATATATTTCAATTAGTATTATTGTCATTAATTAGCAAACTCTACTAGTACTCCAGTTAAGAAAAAGCCACATCATTCTCTAGGATTTCAAAACCTCATCACTAATCAATGAGCTTATAGTCCAGTGGCGGTGGTTTTTTACAAGAGATAACGGATTCAAATTCTAACAAATTACTTTTGCTAGGAACCTTGGATGTATAAGTAAAAAAAAAAAACTCATCACTAGGAATGGGCCTTTCATGATAAGATCCATCTCATTAAGAATATGATGTTAGGGAAGAAGGTAAATTCTATTCGGAGAAAGTTTGAGTGAAAGTTTGTAGTGAGAATCCCAATATAAATAAGATAAAAATGAGATGTTGCCAAATGTCCAAAATGCGATTGTTGGGTCAATGCTATATGTTACATACACATGGTGATATTTGGTATGAAAGGCCAAGAGTGTTTAGACCCCCCCCCCCCTCACACACACACACACACACACACACACACACACACACACACACACACACACACACACTTTAGCACCCCCCCCCCCACACACACACACACACACACACACACACACACACACCAGCCGCGCCGCCTCGCTCATCATGGTAATATTAACTAACCGGAAAAAAAAAAAATCGGATTAGTAAGGCAATAATGATTTTAATAAGCATGGGTAATTAAATGATCATGACCTATATTCAGTGAAATTAAAGGATAAAATTAATCATCTAGAGTGATCACCAAACTAGTGAAATCCCTCTAAGATTTAGTCCCAAGCCATTTGTCACCCCTCATAGAGAATGGTACGTAGAAAACATAGACATACCCCTATCCTCCATGGTTCTTAGTTTGCAGTTTGTTAGTATTGCAAAAGCAAGAGAAGGGTGGAGTATCTGTCAATCGATGGTTAATACACCAAATATGTGGAAGATTGATACCTCGACAAATAATACCAGTTTGTTAGAGCAGCTAAACATAACCAAATAGAACATCATAACTTCAACCAAAACATTACACAGAAGAATATATACATACTTATACCGACAGAAACCCACAAAAAAAAAAAAAAAAAAAAGATCTACCCGGAAAAACTTGAAATTAATGCTTCTCTTTTAAGCAATTAGAAGTTCAGCCTTGGAAGTCCTACTGACTATTAATCCATCCTAGATGATCCAACCTCCGAATAGTCATAGAAGTTGAAATCACTGGTGCCATAAACCTCATCAAAGGGCCAATGCGGTTCAGTTGCAAATTGAGGCTCACCTGGGAAAGTGGCAGTTGTTTCTGTAGAGGCAGCCTCCAAGTCAATTGTCATTGCTGTCATGTTTTCCTTATCTGCAGGAAAATCAAATGAAATATCCATTGGCATTGCCAATCTAGAAGGGTGATTTCTAGTATTGCTGCTGAAGCTAACGTCACTATTTTCAGTTGACTGAAGAGAAACTTTGACATCTGAAATTAAAAATCTTTGATGGGACAATACATAGGGGCTTGCTGCGTGAGTTGATATGTCACATTGTCTGCAGAGTAATGCTCTATCCTCCAAGCAGAAGATATAACCCTTCCTTTCCTGCATTAATCATGAAATTAAGATTACTATAACCCTGACTTTGATATTGTAAATCTTGTGTTAGGATATAAATAAAGAGGAATTTTCTAGCTTCCATATGATGTTTCAATTAATTACAAATCAAATCTAGTCCTTAGAATTTGGTCATCCAATTTGACTGTTTGGTTTCTCCATTTTCCTTCCTACGGGGCTTAAATTAAATTTACATAAGATTAAATTAATGGCCCGGGAAGGATTTAGGAATAGGAGGAGGATGAACATTGTTGCTTAAAATTATCAATGGGAAAGGCATGAAACCGACATTTAGGATTTACCCTACATCTAGCCTGGATCAAGCAAGACAAAATTTGCATTTGTGATCAACTGAAGTTTAAAAAAAAAAAGGGCAGCTAGTTTTGCATGAATAGGTAATTAATGAAGCTTATAATCCAACCAAGGAATAATCCCTTCTGAATTATTTATTTATTATCTATTAGGAAGAGGCTCAAAGTCAAGCTTTGTAAGGAAATAGAAAGGTGAACACATCTATTGAATAGCATTAATTTAACGGGCAATTACACTTCAATCAAGTATGCATATAGGAGAGTACTGTGGTGGTACCTGGCACGTTTCACACAGAGGAAGCTGAGAAGAGGACGAGCAAGAGGTGGTGGAGGAGGAGGAGGAAGGGTGTTTGAGAAGTAAGAGTCGCTGATGTTTCTCAAACAGTTTGTTAGCTGCATGGACATTTGCGTCACATCCTTTACATAACACAGCCTCATCTGCACAACATAGCACTTCTGCCTCTGCCTTCTCGCACACATCACATTGTATCTTCATCTTCACCTTCACCTTCTTTTTTCTGAAAATATTCACCTCAGAATAATCTCAAAAATGATCCAACTGTTATTTGGATATCTTATATTCTTTAAGCTAGCTAGCTAGCTAATATTATTGAATACCATGCCTACTAATATATCTATCTATCTATCTATGTATCTATATATATAGCTGTAGAGGCTACAGAACTGTACTTCTGATTCGAGTCATGGGTAGATATTCTAGTAGATGAAGGCATTGAATACTAATAACAGACAAAAATTAATGTGCGAGGAAAATCTGATAACAAGAATGACATGTCCTAAACACATGCATGGTCCCAGCATGAACCTTGGAGAGAATAATACTGTTTCTCACCCAGAATCTTGAACTTGATAAAGCAAAGCTCCTATGCAAATGGTAACATAGCCTGTGACGTCATTATATAATTAGTTTAGTCCTTTTCATTCTGCTTCATTATTATAAATATTACGCCTATATATTCCTTGTAGTTGTTACGTGTGTTGGTCCTGGGTTCATAGAGATTATGGATTTTGGTATCCGTATTAGATCAGCATACACACAAAGGTTTGTACACAATAATGAACACCATTCCAATGTTGTCTGTTGTTTGAGTAAAATTGAATCTAAATTTATTGCAAATTCGTTTTAATAATTTTCTACCAATTACCATGCATGGGATACATACATGATTCGGTTCTAGGTAATCATAATTTTGTTGTGGGGGCAAAGCACAAGTGAACAAAGGAAATTACGTAATATACATGTTTCTGTACTTTCACGTATTTGCACAACAAACTAATCTGTTAACAAAATAGTTTTCTACACAACATGCCGAAGAGGACAATCAAAGTGCATCCGTTCCAAGCAATGTGATAGGATAACAATTGATGTGTGCTAGCCTGGCCAAGTTCTGCTTCTGGACAACTACTTAAATTGTGTACTGAAGTTTGAATTTCTAGAAAGATATGATTTGATCTTTTAATGTCATTTAAGCACTAGAGATGTAGCTAGAAAATTTCTAATGCAAGGTCCACTGTTACCCTCAATTCTGGATAAAAAAGATAGAGCCAACTTGCACCAACCACAGATTAAGGATCACTGCCTTGATGGAATGAGCTTTCGAATGGGACCAACTCAAATTAAGACGGTACAGCTGGAGTAGCTTGGATGTGGAGATTGAATCTCATTTACCTATATTTGATTAAATTTTTATTTTTTTTTCCGGTTGTTTGTCTGTTTATGGATTTCAATTTGCTTTCTTATTGTTTCTTCTTGTCAGTGAAATGGGCATGGCAGCAAATAGATGAAACTAGAAACCTTCCTAGCTTATATGCCCATTCCATCTTTCTGGAGTTTATCTTTAACGCACCTAGTGCCAAAATAGTTCTCTGATTCTTAAAATCTCATGAATTTGACCCCATGATGATCCTAGAAGTGACAATGATATATGCAAAGAGGGCCAGCTATTACTTTGCCTATTTCCTATAGCTCTTATCCCACGCATGCAGAAGCATTTGAACAGATGCGTGGGACTATTATTGCTTGCCTTGCAGTTACTGGAAACAAAATAACTAAAAGAAAAAAATAAATAAATAACTTTTGGGTATGTTTGGTATAGAAATGGGGTAAAAACTAAAAGGGGTAAACTTTCACCCTTTTTATTTATCTCAGGGATGATCTTGGAGGGAGGGAAAATTTTAAGAAGGTTAACTCCTCGAAAACAAGTCAAGGAATTTTCAAAGTTAAAACTTTTAAGTTTCATTTGGTTATTAGAAATGAAAAATCTGAAATAAGAATGTAAAAATTGAAATGAAAATTAAAAAATCGAAATGACATTTATATTCTCATATTGTATTTAAAATACTAATAAAGAATCGAAATGTAATTTAAATTTTTTAATATCTAATTTTTTACACAAATAAAAATAATAATTAAAAAATAATTTTATTAAATTATATTTGTGGTAAAAATAATAAAGGTGATAATTATAGTGGTAGTTCATCACGTAAATATCATTATTTTTCAATCTCAAGTGATTGTGAAAACTAAAAATAAATAAACAAATAAATAAAATCGAAGTTTAGGCATTCAAATAGAAAGATTTACTTATTGGACATTAAGTAGGAAAAAATTCAAAAATTAAACACTTAAATTGCAGTTTTCTCATTTCAAATTGATTTTATTTATATTAGAATCCACCATTATTCTTTTAAAAAAAAAAATTCTACTAAACATTCTTGAAACTTCTCCTCTAAATACTTTTTACACAATCTTGATTTAATAATACTTTACTTTTAAATCTTACCTTTTTTTTTAATATTTCCTCTCCAAATTTTTAACCTCGTACCAAACGCAACCTAATTAGTTGCAACAAATTTTGAAAATGAAAATAATGCAAAAGCAAAAGTGCCACCAAAGAAGTGATTGTTTGAAAACTTATGATTTGTAACTGATTTGGTATTGATTTTATGTTTTTGAAAGTTGGAATATACAAAATTTTAATACCTTCAAATCTTAGAATGATCGAAGTAATTTATCCAATACAATTTAGTGACATTAAAATCCTATCACCAAAGTACAGTTAGATTTAATTTGTGGCAATTTAACTTGTCACAAAATTAAATTTTTATTTGTAACAATATTTACATGTTCCCATTTTTATAAAAAATATTTGTAAAGTGAAATTTTGGCATGTAAAAGTCTTAATTTAACCAATTAAAATCCGATTCTCGAATAGGTTGCATCTATAATAAATTCATATTGAATGTCCATAAAATTAACTCACAATTTGAATAATGTATTTAGTCTATTACATGTATGGTATATTAAGTATAGTAAATTATTGAACTTTTTTTTTATATATGAAACACACTTTTATTGAGAAACATCAAGAGGATACATTAGAATAGATTACATCTCTAAAAGATGAGAAAAACACCCTCTATAAAGACCTGTTCATCAGCATTAACTCATGCTAAATTAGCTAAATTATGAGCAGGCCTATTATTCAAGCATTTGACATGGTGAAAAAAAAATAAAAAAAAAAAAGGGAAAAGATCGACCAAAGACTGAATGTCCAGAACAAGAGAGGATAAATAGAAATCATCTTCCTCAACTATGTTAAAGTATTGGAGAACGTTAGCACAATCCATTCTAGGCAAATATTTGTGAAACCCAGATCCTTAGCAAGCCGGACCCTATAAATAGCAGCAGTAGCTTCGCCAATGTCAATAGGATATTGCACCTCTAGATGCTTGTGAGCCAAACTTAACCTGGACAAAATCATTTCTGGCAATGACACCTAGACCACTAATATTAGAAATCTTAGAAGCATCAGCATTGATCTTAATCACACGAATGATACGTAGAGTCTACTGGAATGTCTCTTAATTACAAGGCTGAACAATAGGGATAACAAAACAGTGTTGAATATCGACAATTTCCTAGACACTAAGCTCATCAATTTCCTTTTATTGGAAATTAAGACAGTTTCTAACGTGGAGCATAGTCCATGCTAAAATGACTGCCTTTTCAAAACACAAATCATCAAGAGGCATTAGAATTTTGCAGAACTAGTCCTTGAAGAAGAAGAAGGTTCGATAGTGTCATTAAAGTTACTGAACTTAGAATGCTAGATGTTTTTAGCAAAGGGTAAACTATAAAGAACATGATTAATATGTTTAGAATCAAAACCACAAGTACCTCTAGGCTGATCTATGAACATTTCATGTCTGACCAAGTTGGAGCAAGCAAGTGAGAAGGACTTCTTTGATTGCTCTCTAGCAAACTGTCTAACTTTAGGGTAAACATTCAGGTGCCACACTCTTTTTTCACACTCTTTTCTCTTTTTTTGTAAGACCACTAGATGACTCCTCATTAGTGCTGCAGAAATCTAGAACCACAAAATAACCACTCCAAATTGAAAAATTTTCGTTTTTAGTAGGAGGATAGATTAGTTTATCTTGAAGAACCTACAGCATGATCTGTAAAGATTGTACTACTTCAAACAGAAGAAAAATTTGGTGAATGAGGTTAGCTTTCCACGTACAAGATTCCCTACTAATGAGCATATCCACAGTAGCATGATCATCTCTTCAAATCTGAGGCAGAGACAATGGTATGTTTCCAGCTTGCTCTAGAAGCTAGTTATCATGCTAGATACCGATAGCACTACCATCACCAACATTTCATGTTGTACGTTCTATTGAGTTTTGTAAATTGATGTAAATAAGAACCTGCAGTATAGAGCGCTATGCATACCGTGGGATCAAGTCGGTAGCACCTCTTGTAGGGGCTCGGGGCGGAACCCACAAAAAGTCTACAAAATATTCACTGCAAGAAAAATAAAAAGTACCGATGGTTTTTTTCCGAGGGTCTAAAAACTGTAGCAAAAAACAAATTTTTGCTATGGTTTTAATATAATTGAAGTAAATCAAGATTTAAAAAAGAAAATTAGGGATGGTTTGTTGAATCAATCGCTAAACCATTTTCTAATTTGGAAATTAGTGATGGTTTAGTTAAACCGTCACTAAATATCCTTTCAAAATGACTTGGATTAGAGACGATCCACCCAAACCGTTGCTAAGCCGTCTAAATTAAAACAAAATTGACAATTATTAGAAACGATTTTTTAGAAAAAAAAAAAAAAACCATCGCAAATAGAGCAAATTTAGCGACGATTTAGTAAAACCGTCGCTAATTTCTAACGAATAGGGGAAAAATTAAAATTTTCAATTAGCGACGGTTTTAGCAATGGTTTAAAAACCATTGCTAAAATTTAAATCCCTAAAAACAGATTCTACTCTCTTTTTTTCCTCATTTTCTCTCCTTCTCCCTCACTTTTTCAACAAACCCTCTCTCCCCATTTTTTCTAGCAGGATGAGCTCTTCCCCTCTCCTCCTCTCTTTTCTCTTCTTTTCTTCTTCCCCTCTCCTCCTTCGTTTTCTTTTTCTTTCTTTCCCTTTCCTCCTCCTCCCTTCAATCCTCTTCTCCGTGTC